GCAAGTATTTGGAAAGACTGACAATAACATAGCAGCGAACTGCCATATCTGCCCTTTCTCAATCTGAGAAATGCATCTTAGTTTCCTTAGACGCATCCTCTGCAGGTTGCTATGGCCCTCGCATTGTCAGGACAAATTTTAGCTTCCATGTTTTAGAACAATATCAAAAATTTGCTTTTCACTTATTCATAGTTGGTACCATCTAGAGGTTTTCGACTCAAAATCATTTCTAAGATATTTTCTGAAAAACATATAAAGCACACAATTACAAACAAATAATGCAATAAACAAACGAAGTGCAAGTAGATTCTCATAACTACTCTTGTTTATTGTTAACAATCCTTCAGTTTATCTTTACAAGGCTTACGATGGGCAAGTCACTTGTAAAAACCAAAATTGTTATTTGGGCCTTCAGTGCCATTGCCAGAGCCTCGATGGGAGGGTTAACAATTTTACCAAAGTTGAACGTAATTAACCATTGTTTAATTGCAAAATTATCCTTAGTGTCTAAGCATTGGGCCGTACAATACTTTACTAAAATTTTGAAATTATTAAGATTTAATCTAATGAAATCTGATTATCCTTATCCGATGGGGCTTCAGCGATAACCATTTCACTAATAAACCCACAAATGGAGCCCGCAGGTTTTAAAATTAATTAATTTTTAAAACCTTCACCCATTCAACATTTTTGTTTGAGAATTTTTCTAAGCCCAGTCGAATTCATTGTTTAATTTCAAAATTATCTTTAATAACTTAGTATTATCGACGATGGGCCGTACAATACTTTATTAAAATTTTGAAATTATTAAGGCCCAACAAAATCCAATCATGCTTATCCGTTGGGGCCTCACATGATTATTTTATTGATAGGCCCACAATGCACCTGGAGGTTAAATTAATTTCTTAATTTAAATCTCCTCCCATAGATATTTAAGTCCAATCTAATAAAATCCAATCATGCTTATTCGATGGGACTTCATATGATTATTTTATTAATGGTTCTATAATGCGCTTGAAGGTTAAATTAATCTCTTAATTTAAATCTCCTTTCATTCAACATAAGCAACATTTTCTAATTTCAAAGAATTATTTAATTGAGAGTATCCTTTGTTCGATTTCAAAAACTATATAAGTAAGAGCGCCGATAAACGTGCACTAAGCTTAACATAATTTTGAAAGCTTTAAGGTCCTGAATTCCGGTCACTTCACGTCAGCGTGTGCTCCAAACAATCATGATACATGAAGGTTGTATGCAGCGTGTGTTATTCCATGACCATTTCAGAAAACCCACAAATTACTCGCAAAATAAAAGAATTCTCTTAGGAAATTTTCTCTAATTATTTTTCTAGATTTAAATCATCCAAATAGCTGACTTAATTATTAATCTAGATTGCAACAATCATAATAATTATCATTTATGAGGATAATTTGAAATCAAAATAATTTCCATAACGATTATTTGTCTTGATGTTAATTATCCAAAATTAAGTAATTCAATTATTAATTTAGATTTTTAATAAAAATCATAATAATTATTAATTAATTTCTTAGGATAATTTAAAATCAAAATAATCCCATAATAACTATGTCGCTGAAGACATAATAGCTATTATGCTCATGCAATCATACAAGTTATGCAACAATATGGCACCACCTATTCTATTCTATATGGCATGTTATCGCAATAAAGCATGTTATCAATCATATAATTTATAACAATCAATAAAAGCATTAAATAATAAATCATAATTACTTTAATTCATGACATTCCTATTTTAAAGAAAATAAAAAAAATGTTACAACTTTGGAATTCAACTTTCGCCTAGCCCATAATATCTGTCTCAAGCCCCTTTAGGGTTTCCATGGGCCCAAAAGCCCAAAGACCCAATCCTTTGGCGAGAAACCCTAGGACGCGAAAGAGGAACCCTAGTCGTCAGGTCTGCCGCGCTGGCACCCGAACTCAACTCGGGCCGAAACTCCAGGGGAAAAACCGCCACATAAAGACGAGTGCACCGCCGCCGGAACCACCCAAAAAGGTGGCCGGACGCTCGCTCACTCTCCCATTCTTTGCCGGAGAGTGGCGGCCACTCTCATCCTCTTGTGGAGGCGCATGGCGGAGCGTGGAGTCTCCGATGGCGGCTATCCACCCACCTTTGCGTTCGTCTTTCCGTCCTCTTTCCAACCATATATAGATCGCCCCATTGCGAGATCGGTAAGTCTTCGAAAAGTCTCCGACAGTGCTGACTGCGCATCTTCCTCGCGATTTCTCGATCTTGAACTTTAACAAAATATTGAAAAAATACACAGAAATTCCAAAAATAAACAAAAACAGCAAGGAGGAAACCTAATCATATGGGATTAGCCTCCTTGTTACAAATCGAGAAATACACGAGAGACCCTAACCATGGATTAAAGCATTTTTACCGATTAAAATTTAAACTTTTCTGAAAATGAATTATAAAATACACATGCTAGATTCATACCATAATCCTAGAATCCTAGGTGCCACATTTCAAGAAGCAAAACTAATTACATGAATAGTGAAACTAGATTCAAACACCAATGTACAACCAAGGCTCTGATACCAATTGTAGGAAATCTTAGATTTATGCGGAAGCGGTTTAGGACCTAGTACATTGGTATGCTTACCGAATCATCCTTGTTTCACAGTTACCTCTCGGTGCGCAGGTCTCGTGTAGAATCTTCCCTTGTAGGATTCCTCTTCACGAACAACTCACCTCAGCGCCGCAGCACGAACAACCTCCTTGAAGCTGGACTGTGGCAGATCTTCCAAACTATCTCTCGAGGAGGAAGGAGAAGTGTGTGGGCACTGATTAGATTTTGAGCTTGCCTCTTTCTCACAAAAAAAACCTTTGAGGCTGATGACTTAAGAGGTACTACTTATATGGGTTCCAAGAAACCCTAGCTCATTAGGCTCTAGGTTCCTTGGGCTCTTCTCATACTAATAACCTATTTGGGCTTTACTAATGACATTTGATCACTCATATTTATACTATCAACATCAAGAAGGGTCTGAAGCCCTAGCGGGGGGTCGTGGAAAAGATGCAAACCACCACCACCAGAAATTGCATGTCTCACGAGCCAATGTGCAGAGGCATTGTTCTCTCGATTTATGTGGGAGGATCGAATAACCCATTTCTCCTTTAACCACTTTCTGATTTGGGAAGCCACCCAAAAATCTTTGGTGTCATTAATATCAAACTCCAAAACATCTGGCATGGGTATTTTAGTTTATGATTGTAGTTTCCATTTCGTTTTAGGAATAAAACACGGGGAACCCAAGTCTCATTTTTTTGGGATTGGATGTTGTTTGCTTGTTTGATCCAAATTTTTTATGGATTTAAAGGAGTATCGACACCCCAAATTTTTTCCTTCTCGTCAATTGCTTCTTCGCCGGTGGTTGTTCATTGATTTTTTCTTTGGCTTGTGATTTTCAAGTATACCAGTGATACTCCCTAAATTTAGCACTGATATACTCGTCGGTGAATTAAGGCCATGAGAGAGAGAGAGAGTTGAGACTGAATAATTTATACGAAGGTTATTTTTATAAAATCTTTCCACATTTTTAGTAATATTTAACAATCAACCAAACGTATACTCAGTAAACTTGAACAAACAATCCCAGTAATATTTTGGTCTACCAAATAATTTTTTGATAACATTCCCGAAAAATTCACTTTTCAACTATATTCATGGAAATCGTAATTCTTAGATAAAAAAAAATGTCTCCTCTATCAAACATTTCCTTAAGGGGGTGTTTGTTTCAAGTTTTTGAAGAGGATTACCGGTAATCCTTCTTTGGTAAATGTAATTACCACGTTTGGTAGAAGGAATAAATTACGATTCCCGGATATCCAAGGATTACCGGTAATTTGATTTATAAAGAAAAGTTACCATTCAGATTACCAAAAATAATATGGTAATTCGGAATACCAAGTAAAGGGAAAACACAACAATAAATTTTGAGACAAAAATACCCCAATACACATAAAAATCTAGACCCAATCTATCAATTACAAAAGTAAAAATAGTTTGGGGTTATTTTTGTAAAATAACCTCATATTCCAAGTCATATTTCGTTCTAAACCAAATATGGAATCAATAATTTTTACCCAATATTTCCCGGTAATATTTTGGCGAACCAAACACCTCTTTCGTAAGATTCCAAGTAAACTAAATTTCTACTGAATTCTCATTAATCATGATTCCCGGTCACTAAAAAATGTCTCCTTTACCAAACATTTCCTTAAAATATTACAAATTTGGTTGGGATTATAGCCTAAAAATAACTCATTTGGTAACAGTGTCATTAGCATTGGGCCTAAAATGTATTGCCCAAACCACAATAAAATATTTGGCAAGCCCATATAAAGTTTGAATCAGAATACGAACTTGAACGACGAGTTGCTATGTGCTTCTGGAGTGGAGTCAGTAGACTCATGTTCTCTCATTCACTGAGGTGTCAAATAGGAGTCAGGAGTCAGGTCTAATAAGATGGCCCAAATGTAGAGAAAAGCTTAATGCATCGAAATATCGAATTCAATACTCTTTTTTATTAAATAGGATTTTTTTTTCCTTTTATCCATTTTTTTTCAAGTTCTAAATTTTTTTCATATCTAATAAGAAGGAACACTGCTCCCAGTTCTCCCAAATGTATTTGAGATAGGATATATATTATTAAGTATTTTTACTATTACTTCACTGCCACTTTAATTATTATTGGATTCAAAAATCATTATTTTTCTCTTTTTTCATTTAATTTTTGTTTTAATCCAATAGTAATTAAAATGAATATTTTTTTTGGTAATATTAACATCGTGAGTATGTATTTATTGGGCTGGGAAAATGAATAGATTTGAACCACTGATAATCCTCCACGTCATGGACCTTCCACGTGTCCCACCTCGATTGGGCGAAAGTATGTCACGGAAGGTGTCTCCAAGACTCCAGCGTAGAAGGTGAACCAGCGTGCAGCGGGGGTTAGTCTAATTGCAGTGTGAGTGTTTGTGTATACAAAGCAAAGCAAGTATCCATCGCGCGACTTGAATATTGCACTCTCTCTATCTGTTCGGATCTGGATAGTAAATCGGGTCGAACCGTGGCTTCCTCAGGGTCGCAGAGCCTGTCTCGAAGAAAGCCTTCTTCTTCTTCGTCTACTACTACTACTACTTCACAAACATCAGGGTCGACCCGAATCGTTTACAGGGAATCCAGGGAATCTGAATTCCCGTTCTGGCAGCAGAACTGGTTCATCGCTTTGCTCTTCCTCATGGCTCTCGGATTCTTCGGTTTTGCTCTCTTCCTTTTTCTCACGCTCGATTCTGACATCGCTCCTTCTTCCACTTCCACTGCCTCTGCGGCTTCCTCCGAAGGCGTCGAGGTTTTACCTTTTTTATTTTATTTTCCATTTCCTTTGTTTAGGGTTAGCGATATTAATATTATTATAATTCATAGATTTATCGACAACTAAGAACATGTTCAATGCTTGATCTCGGTATCGTATAGGTACAGATTACTTACGGCTCCGTTCTGAAGCTTATGCACGAGAAGACCAAATTTCGGTTGCATTCTCATGATGTGCCATATGGTTCTGGCAGTGGACAACAATCAGTTACGGGTTTTCCCAATGTCGACGATGCCAATAGTTACTGGGTATCTATTCCTTTTCTTATTGTTTCCTTTTAATATATATATATATATATATATGAGGTAGGATCTTTTGACACCTGTGTCAAATTTTAAATTTGACACCGCATCTAATAAAAAAAGATCAATGGTGTCACGTGATTACAACATCTGAGAGCTATTAGATCAAAAAAGATCAATGGTGTCACATGTTTACAAATCAGACTTGTTGATCTTTTAATGGTGTCACATGCTTACAAATCAGACTTGTTGATTTTTTTTTGATCTAATGACTCTCAGATGAGGTGTCAAATGATCTACCCCTCTCTCTCTCTATATATATATATATATTAATTTGTATAAATGAAGAGCCTACAATACTTGGCATTTGGTCTTTGTCTTGACTTTAGATGTATGCTATATTTTGCAGATTGTTAGACCTCAGCCAGGAACTGATGCTAAACAAGGTGATGCCATTAAAAGTGGCACAATCATTAAATTACAGCACATGAGGACAAGGAAGTGGCTGCACAGCCATTTGCATGCATCCCCAATAAGTGGCAATCTCGAGGTGAGTGCAGCTTTTTTTTCTTTTTCAATTGTTTATTACCATGTGCTTTAGGGATTTGCTGGTGATTTCTGTAATGCTTCCAGTTTACTTATATAAGCTGCTGTTGTAATGCGTGTTATATTTGTCTCATCCAATGTATGATTATAAAGACTCTGCATTTTGTATCTTATTGATACAATATTGTACGTAGCACCTCCTTCTGCACTTCTGTCTCTGTTTTTTGGTTTCTGTTGTCAAGAACTGAGATTGAATTTATTCCCAAAATATTGTTTCATCTTATGCAACGGGCCACTGTTTATTTCTATTATTTCCCTTTGGGAGAGTATTTGATATTTTCAGTGAATGGTGATGATACAATCGTATGAAAATGTTTTAAGTATTTTTTGTTATTAGACGTTTACTTTCATCTTAATTTAATGTAATTTCACCTTAGGTTGGAGCAAACTCATCCCCTATCATTTTACCACTCATCTTTATTATTTGAATGTTCTCATATGCTCTACATTCACTTCTTGGACATGTTTCTTTAACTGTCCAACTTCATTTGACATGGGTGCCTTATGACAGACCTATGGTTAAATAAAGTTTTGAATGTGCGTCCACTCTTAAGCAACTCATGTTGAGTCCATTAATTGTGATAGACATTCTCTTCAATTTTACTTGTGCTTTACATTGCATGTACTCATTGCCCTAGATAATGAAAATGCTCAGTTTTATATATCTTTTGCCTCTTGATCAGTCCATTAACTCTTCTCGTACTCTTGCTAATGCGATGCTTCATATGTCGTGAATCCAATGATATGACCTGAAGACCACATGTTTTAAAGATTATCTCCATATTCCCACTTTGATTTCTTTGTTTTTGGTCTAGGAGTAAACTGGTGCTATAAAACTGCTATGCGCATAGTCCAGAAAATGGTTAATTCTGTTGGGTCTATAGTAGAAAGCCGTATCTTGCATTTGTTGGAGCCTAAGTGCATGAATTAACCTGTGACCTCTGGGTCATATGAAACAACACCAACCACGTAGCTAGTATATATATTCATTTAAATTTGTCCTATGGATTGGGACTATCCTTCACTGAAGCAAAATGGAAATGACTTACCGTAGCTTCTTGATATAACTATTATTCACTTTTATACTAATAATCAATACTATTTATTCCGCTGGTGTTAATTTATTTGATATCCTGACTCTACCTAGCTGGCTTGGTTGAATTGAAAACAGGTGAGTTGTTTTGGAGGAGAATCTGAATCTGACACCGGGGACTATTGGAAGTGAGGCATTATTATTTTATTTTATTTTTAAGGATATTTGGATCTCAAATCTCAATATTCTGAAAGGTGCTTTATATTGGTTTCATTTTTCATTAGGATTTTAGTTGAAGGAAGTGGGAAGACTTGGAAGCAGGATCAGAGGATTCGATTTCAGCATGTTGACACTGGAGGCTATCTACATAGTCATGATAAGAAATACTCTCGGATTGCTGGGGGACAGCAGGAGGTGAGGAATTGCCTGGAATTCGAAAATCTTCTATTCTCCTTTCATCAATATTTTATTGAATTACAGATGTGCAAATAATATTTTATTCTGTGGAAAAGCTTTTATAATTACTGCTTTCAGTTCGTCAGACCCCTACATGCCTTGCTTGTGGTTATCAAATCTCATATATATATAAATGTTAGTTGCAAGGGTTTAGACTGCATTAACAAAATGAGAAAGCATTACGCGGATGACTTAGGCAGTTAGCAATACTTTTGTCAAGTTAGCTTTGACTTTTAAAGTACAATGAATGGTGGTGGTGAATCTAGGGATGGTATATGTGGTCCATTTTTACATTGATCCCGCTATTTTATTTTTATATGTAACTCAAATGTTCGAAGTGAGTTATCGTGTATGTCATTTATTTTATTTTACTAGGTTTGTGGTGTTCGTGAGAAGCGTGCTGACAATGTCTGGTTGGCAGCCGAAGGTGTCTACCTTCCGGTTACCGAAAGCAAATGAGTTGATTAGTATCAATACTTTGTTCAAACGGGCAACATGGATTATGAAATGGGTGGCTGGCACCGGTTCTGATAATAGATGTCGATTGTCTATTGAAGGAAAATATACTTTAGCACTTTTTGGATGATGTAGTAATGTTAGTAATATTTAGTCTTAGGTTCACTATGTTAGTCTTTAAGTGCATGGCCCTTTCCCCGCAGGATATACTTGCTGTATCTGTTATTTTGTTATGCAATGTGCTAATTGGTAGTTCCTCCAATAGGGCTAAAATGGTTGAATTGTCAGCAATGGAACTTTAATTTTCAAGTGATTTAAGACGTTTAATTATACTGATCAAAATGAACTCTTGTTTGAAATGTTTTTCTTGTTCATCTTGGCATATGAACCAAAATTATAGAGATTTCTATGGACTCTAGTGAAATTCTGGTCTTTTTCCTCTTGGCATATGAACCAAATTTGTAGAGATTTCTATGGACTTTTTAAAGCGCAATACTGTTCTGATTTTATTTCAAAGTTAGCTCAATGTTACATGTGTTTTTTATTGGCTTGTTGCTACATCAAAATTATAAAATTCAGATGTGTTTTTCTCTTTTTGAGGGTGTGCATGATAAGTTTCACTCCGTGCCACACTATTTATTGAATATCACATCGCAGAATATGTTATTTAGGATTAAATATACACTATTTTTAAGTATCATATTTATTAAATACGCCTCTCTTACGGAATTCGAAATAAAATTTATTTTTTTTAGAGAATGAACTGGTTGTTCAGAATATAAAAAAAGAAGAAATGATTTATTATTTTTTATCTTTTTGTTCGGGAACACAAAATAAAATAATTTTTGTTGCCTTTTTTTTTCTATTTAGCAAATAGCGATATAGTAGGATTTGTTATTAGTATTGAATTTATATTATTTATTAAATATATAGTCTTTGGGTATAGAAATAAGTAATGTTATCAAACATATTTCCGTACTTGTAAATTTTTCCTAAGAATAAAAAAAGATATTTGTTTCTGAAAAAAGTTAGAGAATACAATTATTATCATATACATTCGAATTTGCAGAAATAATAATAATTTTTTGTTTTATTTCCTAACAAATTATTTATTAAAAGCTAAAAATCTTAGAATTTATTATTAGCATTAGTTATATAATATTTATTAAAAATATTATTTATTAAATACACTATCTCTTTGGATATAATAAAGTTGTGTTTTCAAATATATGTTCTCTAAAAAAAACTCTTCTCGAGCGCAAAAAAAATTAGAATAAAAAATACTTCTTTCCAAGAATAACACCGTACAAAACATAATCATGATCATGTACAACTTAATTTACCTGAAATTTAGGTGTTTGCAATAATTTTTTTTTTTTCATGTTGATTGTTGTCCAAATTACTGACGTTAATGGTGAAAATGGGCCAATGATATATAGACGGTAAAGGTGTCCACATGATCACCTGCACTTGGAAAAGAAACTCACGACTGCATTATTTGTGTTGGATCCAAAGATGATCGAAGATTTCCTCTATGGTCCGGTTGGGAGTGATCGGCTAGCTCTTCATGGAAATATTAGACAAATGACTGTTATCTATACGTTTGTGTTGCTCGCTCTACATCAATAAATGGCTATTATCTATACGTTTATGGAACTGATGTGTAACAACTAACAAGACAGTGCAAATAACTCGTTCTCGGTTTTCACTATAAATTTGCACGATAATGAACATGTAGAATTTCCACTATAGAACTTCACAGCAATATGCCAGTGATGCATCGTAGGGTTGTTGTGTAAAATATAACAGAATTCAGGGGCAGGTCAGTACTTCTTCAACTTTAGGACAGTATCTCTGAATCGACAAAACAGGGCTATGCAATGCATCTATGCCACACATACGATGTAGGAACTATATCTTCCAACACAGAAAATGGAATGTGGTAGCGCTGGCCTTTTTCAATTCAAGCCCCGCCACTTTCTTTTGCCTTTACATCTTTTTTCACTAAACAAGCAATATTTAATTTCCCAATCTTCAGTTAGATACTCAAAATGTAATGACCAATTATTTTCCATAGCTACATTTTCCTCGATTCTCTTCTCCTGAGTCTTGTTATTGCTTTTGAACATTGGAAAGTGTAAGAAGAAACCATCTGCGTCGTATCATATAGTAATAATTTGCTTTGATGTCTGAGAAAGTAAGGGAACCAATGCAGTCTCACATTCATAAGAAATTACGGTATTTTAACATGATTGCCGTAATTGGGACAGCTCTCCAAAGCATAAACGGGTTATTGCAGGGTGCATATGTGTGTACTAATTTAATTTGCTTAGAACGTTGGTCGAAAGCCCAAGGCACAAAATTTTCCCCAATAAATAAGGAGACCTCATAATGAAATATCGGTGCTTCATAGCTCTGCAATACCCATGTATGTGACAACAACATGCCAGGTGTACAAAACAATAGACAAACACAAGTGTTGAATTATGAAGTACAGTGCATAACTACATCCGAGTTCAATAGGAAAACAACATTTAAACAAATTAAAACTATCCATGCAATCTCATACAGTTGTGGATCAACACTTGTGTGCAGTTTTGGGGGATGGGTGGGTTTAGTAAACAGTGAGCACAATGTTTTTTTTTTTTTTTTTGGGTGGACAGTGAGCACAATGTTATTGATAAAGATCTTGTGCAGTTTGACAATGTTATCGATTATTGTCGGCTTGTTACATGCAATAAAGCTAGTGTACGGAGCACATCGAAACTTGACCTCTTATGTTTATGATTATTGTTAAGAAAAATTGGGTTGAAAACTCCAATTGTCATTATAGTCATGATGATGCATTTGAAATAAACTCACGTTAAATCGATACGCAATTATTTTATGTAAACAATTGGGTATCCTCTTGTATTGAAATTTATAGCCAAAAGTCGGTAGTAGATATTAGTGGTCACATCACATCATTGTCTGTGATGCAAATTCTCAATTTTCTTGCCATCCAACCAGGAAAACACTCTAGCTCAAAATAGAAGACCGCTTTTGGAACCTCAGGTTCAGGTTAAAATAACTAAATTCAACAAAAGTAAATGAAAATTGACACTATTCATGATCGAAGGAATAGCCTAATTAATTTTTGGGAATATAGGCATGTTTGAAATTTGAATACTGTTTTTAAAAATAATTTTTTCAGAAAAAAAAATAAAAAAATTTGTTTGATAAGATTTATTTTGTAAAAATAGTCCTAAATATTATAATTAATTTTTTATTTTTAGAATTAAATTTAGAAAATATTTCTCAATTGTTTTTATTTTATATTTTTATTTTTAATTTTCAAAGCAAAAAAAACACATATTTCATTAATTATTATACAAAACAACAAAAAATACATAAAACAATCAAATAAATTCTTAGCTTTTTACGATGCATGAGATAAATTATCTCATATATGCAAAAAAAAAAATAGGTAGAATCTACTTGTGTTATTTCTCTCTTTTCTTCTTAATAAATTTCACTTATTTTTGTGTTTGTATATTAGACAATTTTATCTTAAGTAACACTAAAAAATTATGGGTTTTATAAGAGTTATGTTGTAGGAAAAATGATTGTGTTATGTTATAGAGATTCGTTTTGCGTGCTAAGGTTTTTTTTTTTTTTTTTACTGCGGGCCCCACAAAATGTTGTGTGTGTAGGAAACTTTTTGTGGTCATGTTAAATGATAGATGATAAACCCAAAAATTATATTCCCTTAATTTTTATATCTAATAGTACATCAACATTAGAATATGGGCAATATTAATCTTATGCAACAGGATTTTATTTTTATCTTATGTCCATACATCGATACTTGTGCCATTTCTTTTTTATTTTTTTTTCTTCTCTTTTGTGGTGGGCCCCACTTCAAGTTAAGTGTGCATGAGATAAAAAAAATTTGCTGTGACATAAGACTACAATTACCCTTAGAATATTTACCCCAAAAGTCAACAAAATTAAAGCATTCAGCAGAAGATAACTTTACATGACTGAAGACCCCACAACGAACATCATGTAACGTGTACTTAGTGCGGAGAAAATGCCATTGACACTTAATTTGCGACGAACAGCTCATCTTTCCATTCAATCAGATCCAATTAAGCATTTAGATCTGTGGCCTGTTAAAAGAAAACTAATTTAGCAAACTAGGTCCAGTGGCATTAAACAAAGACTGGGTAATTGAATTCTTTATTTGACAAAAGTAAAGGGTTTAACAGCTTACAATCTCGCGGCAAATGCATATAACAAATTACATTCAACTCTGCTATTCCAGAGATTCCTGAAAACTCAACACATGGAATATGCAAATGAACAGGGGAAAGATTCTCAAACAGAAAATGGCAGTGAATAGTCCCAGCTGTTTATATGGAAGATGAAAATGACCTACACCCTTTCCAACATTGACTACAATTAGAAATAATAGAAGTATAAAAAAAAATAAGCAGCCCAGCTGTAAGATAAAAAGTGTTGTATGGTTTGAAATTTGAAAGTGACTGCTTGAATGTAGGTATGCTCATAGCAGTGGCAAGAGGGAAGCAACCCTAAGATTTTCCTATTTTGCATGCCATACCACTGATAGGGAGGCATCGCTATTTTTTATTTCGGGAGGAGTCACCATCCATTTCATGTTTAGAGCACAATAATTTTTGTCACTGGCCCGAGTTGTTTCTTTACCAATCTCTGCTTACCAGTTATGCTATGCTATCCCTTCAGGTTAACAATGAAACACACAACTTTAGCTAGTGTCATGGCTATTTTTAGCCTTAATAGCTAGGAATGTCTCTTTTTTCAATTTATAAACACTGTTTGATGGATTCATGCTCATGGCAAAGAAACAAAGTCTGTCCTTTGCAGACACCCAAAAAACAAAAGAACCTAAAGAGGGACTTAAACTTGAAATACTTGTATAATAATCCAATAAAATTTTGACAGGCGATTACTATTATATCATTGCTCCCAAATAGCTACAAGACCAAAAACTCAATGAAATGATGATGTGAAGGCAAACTTCATGGTTCATTCGTGACTCCTCTCTTCAGCAGCTGTAATTCTTTAAAATGGAAGGCTCTTTGAAGTCGAACTTGAAGTCAGTGAAGTAAAATGCTCGGATGGAACAAATTCTTGACGAAAGTTTGCCCTCTTCACAATTTTCATCATGTTGTTCTGCAAACTCTGCTGGACTAATTGCTTCACTGCTTTCTTTTCCTCACTCATCATATCTTCCTCTTCCTCCAAATACTCTTTGCCTCCTCCATCTGTCTTTGTAAAGGATGATGAAGAACCACAAATAGGTGCAGAGACAGTTGCACCTAAGTTTTTACCATATCTCCCCGAAACCTGCTTCCCTTTGTCTATCCTCAAACATTCCAATATCCTTGAGGCCCTCTTCTGTGCCAAAGTAGTACCAAGAAGCGTCAACTCAAGTAGTGACGACACAATCCCTGCCTCAATCATGGCTTGCTTGTCACCATAGGCTTTGTGTGCCATAATCATCAAAATGTATGATGCCTTCTCTTGGCATTCCGGGGAATCTGTCCAATTCAATACATCCACCAGAATTGGGATTGCATCCCTCACACCACTGATAGCTTTTCTTCCCTCTGGAGTTGACACCAAATTGCTTAGAATTGAGAGGATTCTTTCACTTGCTTCCATGTCTCCTATTGCTTTTATCAGAAATGAGACCAACTCAGTTTCCAAAACGAATGAAATGTTGGTCTGAAAGATTGAAAGATTATACAGCGCTCGGAGAGCATCTTGTTTGACTTGGGAGCTACTTTTATTATCATATAAATTTTGAAGGGTTCTAACTAGGAATGGTATTGCACCCGAGGATCCAATTATAGGTTTATTCGAATCCAAAGCACTCAATCCAAGGAAGTTGGCAACAATTGCTTCAGATACCGATGAATCTGCAACATCCGGCGATTCAATGAGCTTGAGCATCTTGTGAACAGCACCAACTTTGACAATAGCTGCTTTATTCCTGTAATAGTAAACATCTAATTAGTGCAGTGAAAACACAATGGATTAATGCATAAACACAAAGGCCAGAGATTAATGCAAAATCGAAAACAGAGCAGAAAATTACAAATATATAAAACCAACAAATTAGTAAAACGATAAGCTTGAATTTGAACAAAAAGAAAAAAATTGCCACATATAAAACAAAAAATGATGAAGACGAGAGAACAATAAATCCTGGAAATCACATAAAAAAAGAAAAAAGAAAAAAGAATGCGAATAGAGATAGATTAAAGAAGAAAAGGAATTGAAGAGATGGAAAATGAAAACTCACGCATCGTTTCCGATCCCGAGATTGAGTAACGCATAGAGCGATGCGATCTGAGAGTGAACGTCTTCCAAATCAAGCATTCCAACGAGTGGTGGAATTGCTCCAAGCATTGCGAATGTCCCTCTCGCTTCCGAGCCTTCCTTCGTCAGTAGCCTCACGCTCGCCGCTGCCATTCGCTGCTTCAAAAAGTCCTCTCCCAGCAACTCCTTCACCACTCGCTTCATCTCCGTCAATGCCTCTTCCTTCTTCTTCGCTTCCCCCTCCGTTTCACACTCCGTTGCGTTCAGAAGATCCGATAGCTTCTCCGACCTCTCCTCTTGCACTGGCTGCTTCTCCCCGGAGGACAAGCTCGCCGTCGAGGGGGCGGAGCTAACGACATCGTCGTTGTTGTGGCGCTGGTGACACCGGTGCCGAGAAGTGCCGCCGCAGCTTACGGCGTCGATAATTATGCGGCGAAACGAAGAGACGGAGCGGGAATTCCAGAGACGGAAGTGGCCGCCGCCGGCGGTTTCATTCTTGGCAGGGTGGCGGTGGTCGAGAACGATTGATCCAACGTTGTTCAGTTCACACTTTGCCATTCTCCGGCGACCTACATTGCAAAGAAGAGCACCGCAGAGAGAGAGAAAAGAAGAGATTTTATTATTTTATTTTTTCAAATTATGTCAGGTTATTTATTTAATTAGGGGTTTCTACTTCTTTTCAGAGTGCTCAGTAACACTGGCACTGCCGTCTGCACGTTTTGTGTTTCTTTGCCTATTTATATTGTTGGTGCCTTGGTGGGTGACAATATCTTTTTTTTAAAAAATCCTATTCTGAAGGTAATCATCTTGTTCGAGACGCTCAAAATATTTTTTTTACATTTTCACATTTACTGAATGAGAAGGAAACCAATGACTATTTCAGACAAAGAAGCTGAAAAAAAAAAAAAAATCATTCCTTTTTTGCTCTTCAATTTATTTTCATCATATTTTTTTGTAGTTGTACTATTTTTCTTGCATCTCTCAATTTCTTATATACATATTTTTCATTCAATTTTTTTAAAAAATTGTTTTTATAAAGATTATTTGGCTAAATCAACGTGTCATGATTTTTGTATAAGAAAAGAAAACATAGAGACAAACAACAGGTTGACTTGTCATAATTAATTATAGAATTTTAAAATCCAAGAAGAAGAGAAAAATCTGAATCCCAGAGCCTAGAAATGCTTATGGTGATAACTCAATCGGTATATGAGAATTGCATAGACGAGATAAAAATATATATTCAATCAATCTTTTTTAATATAATTGTTGAAAGGAATTTATACACGTAGTTTATAAAAAAAAAAAAATAGTTAAGAGAGAGAATGAATAAAAAAGCTTCGAAAAGAAGAAAAGTGATTCGAGTCCTTGCCTCGGGAAATGTGTAATGGACTTATGGGAGTGTGGAGTGATAGAATAGAAGAGTAAGTAACAGTAACACCGCCAGCTATGTATTGTAGGGTATGAAGGAAGTTTCGCATGGGGCTGGTATTATGTTTGAATCGGTGCGGGATATGCAGAATTGAATTTAATTGATTGAAGGTGTGATGGTAGATATGGTAGTGCACGTGACATGCGTAGGGTAGGCTTAGGCGTGTCCGAACTCACACTCCAAATTCAAAGGAATTAAATTGATAATTTTTTTCTTTTAGAAAAAAGTTCTTAAAGTTATTTTACAAACCTATCATAATTTTTATATCAAAATGTCATTGTTTCGGTGAATATTAAATAAATTTATCTAAAATAATTTTAGAAAAAATAACCATTTTTTTTATAAACAACATATTTTCTCTACAGGAGATAATTTTATTTGAGTTAGAAATATCTACATCATAGTAGGGCAAAGGAGATTTTGGGATAATTTTTTTTTCTTAAAACACTTTTGATTTATCAAAATGCCTCTAAATCTCCATGGGATTTTTAACGTTTCTAATGTGAATTTTAAAAATATTTACTGATTCAAGTTTTTTTGGTAATTTTTTACCTATTTAAGGTAAAAAGATGCATATCCTGATAATGCACGTTTAAGTCGCCATTACTCTCATGCGGGACTTATTTAATTTTATTTTTTATATACCAACCCTAATAACTTCTTTGAGATGAGTCTACCCTCGAGTATCCTCACAAGTTTTAATTTTTTGAGCCGACTATAAAACTAATTTCAAGTTGAGATTTAGTTATAATTACTTATCTGCTGCAAATCATCTCTCATTATGGCGTAGACCCCATAATCGTGATAGGCTTTCATCTCCTTTTTCAAGTTTGTTAGTAGTAATTTTGGATCTGTTTTTTTATAAATTTTATAACACCAAAAATATTTTCCTAAGAAGAGTCACTAGAGTCTGGGTACTGGGTGAGATTTTAGGTAATAATCTCATGCAATTGCATTAGCTGGGCCAATTATTATTGCGCCAATCGTGAATAAAAATTTGATGGCTCATATTTATGGTAAGTTTGACCAATATACAAGTTTTATCTGTCCACCTAATCTATCTAAACCCTAAATATATATGTGGGAGTGGGACAACATAAAAACTTCAATGTAATCAATTCCCGTCAATAATATGACGGAGAAATTAGAAAATACTCTGCATATCACGACTAGAATCATGTGTGGGCCTATTTACATTTGGCATTTTCTTAAGATGGATTCGGTCAAGAAAAATTTCTAGTCACCTGAAACAACGATGTACACATGGTTTCTTAAACTTATTGTTCTCAATATCTCATTCTCTCGGATGCATCACCTCATCTCCCATTATTTATTTTCTACTTATTCGTCATAAATAGCCACCGACAAAGCTAGTAAACTTGATCAATAACAGACTGTGAACCGTTAACATCGGAATGGCCAATGAAAGAGACGGTGGAGACAGGCAGGATAGGGAAATTCACAACAGACGCAAACAGACATTGAGATACTGAAATTAGGCAAGAACTTATTTTGAAATTTCGATCACTTAGTCAGGCATCAAATTTGATTTCCACTCTTCTACTTCTCAAATACTCGAGTTAATTTATCTTAGTCCATTTTGCGAATATTTTCCTCTGTCTTAAATAAAAGAAAACTCAATTTTAATATATGATCTACCAGCAAAGGGCTATCACTCCAATATGTTTATTTGAATTTAATTTATCTCTTTAAATTCTAATAAAGATGCTGATATAAAAGAACGTTACTCAACACTATGAAGTATGAACTGCAGCCATGTTGCTTGGTCTCACCTTCCCCTTTCATTAAGGCCCATCTCATATCTTGTCTACAACATAAATCTCGTAATTTAAAAGCTTGCTCTGATTCTTTTCTTTTAAGGGGTGTTTGGTAAGTGGATTTTATTTTGTTGCATGAGAAAGTGGAGATGAGATTCAAAGAAGACAATGTTTGATAGGAGTTTGAAAAAAATTTGCTTAGAAAACTTATTTGCAAGGGAATATATTTTACTTGTAAAATTAAAGTAAGAATACCACCTAGAGATGATATTTTGATTTTGCCATCAAAATGCTAATTTGCCCACAATTTTTTTGATAATATTTCGACCTATTAATTTTTTTTTAACTTTTCCAGAAAATTTATTTTCCCACCATTTTTTCTTGTAATTGTGATTTCTAGATAAAAAAATATTTCTCCTCTACCAAACGCTCAGTTATTGTTTTTCTGATCAAACTATAAATTTATTTCAATGTTTCCATGAAACTGTATGCATTTATAACGAATAAAAACTTTACCCATACAACACTATAGGGTTATAATATTATTTATAAACTTTACCCATACGCATTGACGTGTATATTGTTTTCCAGCCTCTGGATCCTAAGCAGACAGCACAAATGCAAAATAGTGGAGCTCCCGGTAATTGATGTGCTCATATTACCTTTGTCCTTTTAAACTTGTTTCTTCTTTCTCCTCGGTATACATGGAAATTTACTAGTAATTTTAATAATTAGTATGTGTTCAAGTTATAGGATTATGGTAAAGAATGATGGAAAGTGAGAAAAAAATTCAGAATAATATTCTTTTGCGTATTGTTACGTGATGCAAAACACTAACCAAACTAGTCTTACTTGTCCTGATATACTAGACTTTTTTTAAACAAATAATTCACTAGAGAAGATAAAATCACGGTTCCTAACAAGATAAGATAAAAAGGAGAAATCTTGTAACTCCTGGAACCTTTAAAAGAACAATCTCGTTACCGAAAGGGGCAAACCACCGACTAATAAATAGAGCGCACCTTAAGAGCACTGCTTAAGAAATAAATAAATAAAAAGCATTTAAGACAATTGAGAATTTTAAAAACTTTAGTTTTCATTCAATACTTCAATTTTATTTTATTTTATTTCTTAACAAGTATTCTTATAACACTTAAATCACAAGAACTAAGTTCATACCTAGAGAGTTGGTCAGTAACTCTTGACTATTCAAGAAAGTATGAACTGTGTGCTCTTATCTCACGTGAGTCCAGTGGGCAAAACTAGTCATTGGCAACCATGGCATCCGAAACAGGGCTGTCCAGTTTCTTAATAAGCAGTCTATTTAGGAGAGGACTTCCCTTGGCTGATGGAGTCACATCAGCATCAACAACGATAGAGTCCTCTTCTTTGAAATCTCCCCTAAGAACTCCCATAGCAATTTCATTTTCAACCAATTGTTGTATTACTCTTTTAACAGGTCTTGCCCCAAAATTTGGATCAAAACCCAACACACCAAGAAGTTCAACAGCTTCTTGTGTGTAATGAAGATCAATTTTCTTCTGCTTCAGCCTGCCCTTCACTCGTTCCATCTGTAGCAGGTAACAAAACATGTATTAACATGCATCTTCAGCAATTAGAATGAGTCAGAGCAGTTTAACACGGGGATTAAATCATAAACTATCAAGAGAAACTTCAATAACATTACAAGTTTAATTAAAAGAATATATGATGCATAGTTCTTTTTCCTGATTGAAATATGTAGAGAATAGCTATTTACATAATTTATTTACTCAGCAAACATAAATACAAAGACACTAGAGACATATATCAGTCTTAAACACATGACAAAACATAATCACTGCACATGCATCCAGATCAATTGAAAATGTTCATTACTAACACTTCCATTATTTAGAATAATTTCATCTGAAAAGAGTAATTACCAAACTCGCAACTCTCGAGAACAATTTTAAGAGAAAGAAATATTTAAGTATTGCCATCCAGATGAGAAAAATTGACATTTAAGTAAGTATCAATGAAAATAAGAGTTTCCAGGAAATTGCTTTAGCTGCAAAGCAAATCAACTTTTCTAGAGGACTATCAGTTACACTCGCACTTAATTTTCAAGACAGGGTCCCATTTTATTACCAGAGACCATATAAGAAATAATAACATCCAAGCACAACATCGAGATATTCCAGTTAACGGGTAAGACAATAAAATACAACTAACAACAGCATCAGCCTTTTTCAATCCCAAATATTTTGCAGTAAAGTATTCAAACTTAGTAGCTTGCTTTAGTGCAAGGAGCTGTTTGGTGTACTTTTTGTAAAGAACTAATTCAACCCAAAAGCTTAAGCTATTGGGT